CCCCTTTTTCGAATAGGAGAAAAGGGTTTTTTCCCCCCGGGAGGGCGTCCCGTGGGAAACAGTTTCCTCCCCTTGGGGGAGCCGGGTTTACCGGTTTATCGCCTAAAAGGGCCTGAAAAAAAAGAAAAGACCCCCCCCCCCCCCCCCCCCCCCCACTCACCTCTTGCACCCCCCCCCTACCGCTTCTCTTGTCCACCCCTCCGGATGATTTTTTTTTGGAACCGCGAAACAGCTGTTGAGATACGACCACCAGGAACGCCTGACGGCGAAGGACGCGATGGACCACCCCTACTTCCAGGCGGTGCGCGCGAATCAGGGGAAGCCGGTCGCGGCGCACAACGAGGCCTCGGAGCAAAGCCGCGCGGCGGCCGCGCAGCAGCCATCCGCGGGGGCGGCGCAGGCAACGTCAAGCAACGCGTAACGATAACGACGATGATAAATGATGATGAGATTGAGTCCTCTTCCGTTTATGTTGCGTCGCATAGATGTGTAATGGGGGTCGGGTGGGGGTGGGGGTTATATATTAATTCAACCAGCGAGAAACCTCCGTTCTGGTTTTTGCCTCAAGCGTTAGGCCGTTCTTTGTGTGGTGTTGTAGTAGCAGCGAAAAAAAAAAGGGGGGCAAGCGCTTTGGTCCCGTGCGACGACGGCTGGGACGGTGAGAGCACATGGCGGTGTATCGAGTAGTTCAGCTTTTGTTTGAGTGGGGGGGGGGGGGGGGGAGGGCATTGCTTCCAACAGCCTTCCGTCAAGGTCACCACAAGCGAAAAGGAAGAATCAGTTGTCGCACGGCCGGCAGCGGCTTGACGGTGAAGTTAGTAGTGACCCCAGGGTTTACAACAGAAAATATTGGCGTGTTCTTTTGTCGAGTTCTTGGATTGATGATGATGGTCTGAGCTACCGTTCATGTTTTTACTGCGTGCCAACACCGTGGTTTTCTGGCTATTCTCAAGTGCTTGTTTCCAGCCATTCGTTTCTGTCGTCCACTCCATGAACAGAGAACCGTTCAAGCCGTTTTTTTTTTTTGGGGCCCTGGTCGGACTTTTGAGACTCCGCGTGGAGTTTTTTTTTTTAATTCCTGGCCGGACTGCCCCATGAGACTCCACGTGTGTTGAGTCTTCGAAGCTTCGGAACTCACGGAGAAGAGTAAGCATGGTTTCGCGGGATGGGTTGGAAACGGGAGCTGCTAGCCTGGCTTGGCTTGTGGCTTCCATTGTTCCACGCTTTTGCGGCGTGGGACCTGCCGCGAGGCAAGCCACGAGAAACGCGTTAAAGAACATTTAGACCATTTCGTGCGTCATGTTGTATTTTATGGGGTGGGGTGGTGGGGCCGGAACGAAGAGGGACAGTATCCGTCCCGGGTGGGAAACACACGGCTAACGCTGTCGATGCTCCCGCCCCCCCCCGCCCCACCGGCAGGCCGTGGTCGTGCACGCTCTGTGCGCTCCCCCTTTTTTTGTGTAGAAGGATGATTGGAACACATCGCCAAGCGAGGGGCGCGTGCGTGCTTGGTGAGGCTTTCTATGCAGGCAGGAAGGCAGGCATTCTGTTTTTTTTTTTTGCATGCGGGATTATCGAGTCTACGGCGGGGTCAAAGAGGACGAGGGCCGCGGCCGAGAGTTTTCCTGGTGTCGTTCAACACCGACCGGCCTGGCGTGTATTAGGTTCACGTCGCCGGGTTCAGCGTCCGGCATGGCTGTAGTTATGCTTGGTTTTGATCAATTTCATGGATTGTGCATGCACGTGTTCCCCCCTGAGGCTGCTGCCGCAGCAGCTTTTGTCGTCGATGGTTTTCTTTCCGGCAGCCGGGGAGGGAGGTTGCTTTCGGCGGATCCCACCTCGCATACATAATCTGTTTCGTCCTCTTGCAGTCGACGGAGGGCGGAACGACGACAACGTGTTCCACTAACGTGATGATGTGTAGATTCACCCCGACCCAGCTACAGTAGTGCCCGGTGTTGAAAACGCGGCGTGCTTTTTCTGCAAGACCGCTCCGCGAGCCGAAAAATTATATGCACCCACAGGAACGCATATAAGCCATGCACCCACACCTTTTTTACCGACGGAAATCTTGTCTGAGGAACGAGCGTCACGAACATGTATGCGTTTTCTTGTTTCTTCAACCTGTCGCTCTACTACAGGCAGGCAGGCGCAGTTTTCTGTCCCTCCAAGCAGCAACTACATGAACAGGCAGGCAGGCGCAGTTTTCAGTCCCTCCAAGCAGCAACTACATGAACCCGACTAAATCCCTAACGCTAACGCTAACCCAACCCCAAACCGACCCAATAGGTGCTAGGTTGACATTAGGTTCCTCAGTTCTAGGTTGTTGTGCCTGCATTAGGGCTAGGTTAGCGCTGCGTGGCTCACTTCTAGGTTGGTGGGCCGGCATTGGGGCTAGGTGCTAACCTTCTTGAGGGTGGTGGAACCAGCTTGTTTTTGTTGGTGTTTATGGCCTAGGTTGGTATGGCTTGGATACTATATAGGTGCTAGGTTGGTGTTGACCTGTGTAGGTGCTAGGTTGTGTGGGCCTAGGTCGCTCTTGGTTGGGTGGTTCTGTCGGTGAGGTAAAACAAGTGTGGGTGCATCAAGGTGCATGGCGTATGTGCGTCCCCATGGGTGTATCGAATATTTTTTCTCCGCGAGCCGCACACCATCCGTTCACGTCTGGTGTGGTGACTTCGTGCTCATTTCACGGGATGAGATCCCTCACCTTCATTCAGTGAATTCCGCCTCCTGTTGGTGGGCAATACTCGAGGTGTCGGCTTCGCCATCCGCATACTATTTGCTTCGCCAATATTTTAGTCTACATGCCAAGGGAGGCATGCTACTCCTCTTCGAAACATCTTCTTGAGTTTCACCCCTACCATTAAGCCATGCCCCCGAACACAGATTATTGGCTGTGGTCGGGATATTAGGCACGACCAGTGGACTCCCGAAACTACTGCATACATACACCACCCGAACACACAGGAGAAACGGTCACAGAATGAGCCGGCCGTTGACTCGAGAGAGAAAAGCGGCAAGTCCCAGGTGGACACATCATGCACGGAGGGAAACAACAGCAAACAATCCTGAACACGTGTAACCAGGACAACGAACACTACAGATGTGCAAAATATGAGTCCAACACTTACGGAAGGTCTGCATTTTGTCTGGAAACCACAACGTCAGGTAAAAATTCCCAGGCAAACAGACAACACAGAGAGCAGCGATTTTTGAAATCAACCCCTACGGCAGCGAAAAGGAAAAACACTGGCGGCTTACACCTACAAAATGCAACCGTGACCCGCCTGGCACGACTTCTACTTTCCCCCCAACTCTGATCGTTCCCTGCTCCATGGTTCCTCTCTTGAGGTCCACCTGTAGCTCTGTAGCGACTCCGGAAGCTACTCCGTCGTCCATCATGATCTCTATCGGGTGCCGTGGCGGCATTCAATCCACCTTCGCACTCACTCGTCGTGGTGATTTCTTCGCGTTGTCGATGAAACCCTACAGAAGGGCTACTCCCTTTCTGTACCTCCAGCAACCGAATGTTGAGAGTCATTGTGGCGCTGTATCTACTTCGAAACTTTTTGAAGCATCGCTAAGCAATTCCGGCGAGGCGGTTGGGTTGTAATCTCGTTGTGAATCTTCTTGTGCATCGGCCCACAACCGCAGCGATTCAGCGCTGCTGTGATAAGCGTCATGTTGATCTAATGTACATCCTCTTGACCATCGACTACGTACCGCTCAACGCTGCGAGCGACCTCTTGCGACAAGATCCTCACTCCTCATGTTGGTGGTGGAGACAAGCGGCAGCGACGACATGGTCCTCATATCGATTATTGTTGCTGACCGCAGCTACTTTTTCTGTGTTCTATTGGCTTTCTTCATCTTCATCGTCTTCTTCCTCTTCTTCCTCGTCCTCGTCGTCCTCCTCTTCTTCCTCGTAATCTTCTTCCTCCCCGCCTGACGACGATTCGTCTTCAGTGCCGTACTCATATGATTCGTCGTCGTCGTCATCGTCATCATCATCATCGTCATCGTCGCCTTCCTGCCGACACGCGCACACGCATGACGCACAGCAAACGGCAGAGTACAGGCCTTTTGGGCGGAGAACGTATGGTTCGGTCTCGTACGCGTACACTTCAAACGCAATATTATGTACTTGCAGTAATTCTCCCCCCCATGGACCATGTACGTACATAACTCCCCACGGAAACCCTTCATTTCTGTCTTGTCTACAGCGAACATCCCATCGTTTCTAGTGTACATATTTCGCCCATCATTTGTTGGGTTTGATGGTATGGTGATCACGCCGATAGCCCTCACCGTCTCCCCGAGCAAGGGTTCGGCAATTGATGCTCATAATGATAACGATAACGAGAGACTTTCCATGCGGATCGCGTGCATGTAGACAGTATTGAACCATATGGTCCTCATTTTTTCGTCGATTTCCTCCGTCGTCTTGACAGTGCCAATTTCACCCACTCTCAGCCACGCCGCCTCTATTTATTCTGAGGGAGCACACCGAACGATCCATCACTCTCCCAGTGACTCCTGTTGTCTAGTTCATATATTTCCAGGAAAGATCTGGTTTCTTTAACGTCGGCTTCGGAGTGAAAATGTGCTTCTCAGCAGAGAGCCGCGATCAGCACGGCGTTGGCCAAGATGGCACTGTATTCCCACAGGCCTCGCTCGCCCGGCGGTACATCCTTAGCATACACCGCTAAGTGAGCTATTGTCATCAGGCCGAGAATGAAATCCCAGAACGGAGTAGACTGCATACACCGCGCCCCATAGTAGCGTCAGAAGTGAAATTATGGGAGAAACTGCTCAGTATGTTGCCAACGACAGGTGACGAATCGTTGATGATACCAACGCATCTCGATTAAGAAAGGTGTGGGCGTACGCTCGCCCTTTGCAACCACCGCCAGACAATGAGTTCACCCCGCCTCCACAGCGGTTAGTTTTAGTGATTTATTTCTCACTGTTCAGCACCACGTCAATCTTGTTTTTCTTGTAAGCAGTGGACCCCAAACGCAATGGGGACCGACATTCACTCGAAGTTCAAACCTGGCGATCCATTCGATTGGCGACAGGCATACGGAATGTGGTATCGCCGCACACCTGTGACGAAGCCTCGGACTCCACTGCTAACAGCCTAGCTGCTATCTCGGCCTGCTCGGGGTCCACTTCCTCCTTCAGGGGCGGCTCGTACTGGTACACGACTCCTTCCAGGACCTTCTCTTCCTTTGCTATCTAGTGGTCAGCAGATGAACGGCAAGGAAAAGTGATGAATGAGGTTCCTGCCGACGATACCAGTGTAATGAGATTTTACCCCTTCCTTTAGAATCAATCACCTTTGAGCTGTGTGGAACTCTCTTGTCCGACCACAGGTGCAGGTTGTTGTTGCTTTCCATTGTCTCTTCCTCTCGAGTAACACTTTCCATGCCAACTCACAAGATCCCAAGCACACACGATCACCGGATCGTCTGCACACTGAACAGAAGGGCACATGCCCCGGCATAAAGGCCTAATCTAGCATGACATCACGCCATAGCATCTGACGACGCCAAATATCCATTGGTAAACCACGATCACATCTCTATCTCCAAATGCATAACAGTGGTGATTGTGAACAAAGGGGACAGGGCAAACGTAGACGAAAATGAATATGCATACGTGGCGAGGTTAGTAGTGATGTGAAGAAGGCGGAAAAGGGTAAACCTAAAGAAGAGAACAAGAAGGCCGAGTGACTGAGGTTTTGGGTGGAGAGCGGAAAGGGTCATATGACGTTTTTCTGTGGTTGGCCATGATGACAAACAGCTTTGCGTGTGAATTTGAAGAGGGAAGAGGAAACGCCCAACACGTTCACTCTACGCCACGGCGTAGCCTATGCTACGAACGAAACCCGTCACGTTCATCTGTGGTTCATCAATTCTGGTACATGTTTATCGAAAGGGTGGCAGTTGCCGTGCAAGCTCCCGCTCGCGACACGCTTTTCGACAATGTTCACAAGCACTGCCCTCACTTGTTGTCTTAGATTTTTCATAAGAAATCCATCACATTTTCATTGGTCATTCGGTTAGCACGGCCGATGCAAACAAGCGCACACACAAAACGGCACATACATATGACTAGAAGCCTCAGCAGACATTCTCTTCATGTGCTATCATTTCTCTTCGTAAACAATGGAACAATACCCTATCCCATGACGCCACCTATGGGGACCGAGATGATGGCCTTCAGAAGTGCTTGACATTTGTTTTCAGCCGCCCTGAGACTGGCGAATTTTCGTTCTTCGGCCGGTCAACGCGGTAGACGCCAGCAACAAATATTGATAATCACACACTCTTTGCAGAGACCGACCGTGTAGAGCAAATACACGCAGAGAGCCTTGCCTGCATGATGGCGCTCTTAGCGTGCCGGTGCACCCGTTTATCCGGGGCCACGGCGGCTCCACCTTCTGTGCTGTCGGCGTTCTCCTCCGGCCTCTTCTCAGCCGTTACCAACTCTGTGTGCGGCACATCGATCAGCGAATCAACCAATTTTTGTCAATCAATTGGTAGCCTGGTGCACGATACTGGTGGCTTATATACGTGAACAAGACTACGACTACTGGGTGTGCTCAGGTTCGACAGCGGAATTTGGGCTACCGGGAAACACGCTATGTAGAGGTTCCCGGGGCTCTTCGTGGCTGGTTGTTCCTCCGGCGAGAAAAGCGAGGCGTTCCTCTCTATGTTATGAATCTTTTTCAGAAATGAAAATAATATGGAACGAAGACACTTACCGTACCGTACAGTGTCTAGAATGAAACGGTTAGACCATGAGGGAAAAGTGATATGTGCGATCCCTTGCTGTGCTTGGTCGACGTGCCGGATATTACGGAGGTAGGCAGGACACGGATGGACCCAGAAACGAACGGCGATGGGGGGGCAGTGTTGGCTTGAGTTACGAAGTCAAAATATTTCGGGGTTTTGAATGGATGCAGTCTGTCGGAAATAGACGTATGCAGGGTAGAGCGTCTTACCAGTTCACAAATCGCCCGAGGCCTGCACCCTTCCTCTTTGTGCCAACGTACTCGGGGCTTGATTCTTTCACCATGACGAAACCGCAGGTCCATCCTAGGTGAGCACACCATGATCTACGAGCAACATCGAGGGATATACGATGCCTCCCCAGCCACGAAAGAGCTAGAGCGTTGTCTTCGTGGGGAAAACAACAACGCCCGACTTGGCTGCGCGACCGAAGTAACTTGATCACAACGTATACCACAATAACAGGCTTCGAATGACAACCAGCTGCCACCGCAACTGACGGCCGGAAGAAGACACGAGTAGCGTCTCGATGGTAATGGTGATAATGCGCGCGCACACGAAGACAACGCACCTCCGGCATCACCGATCAGGACCAAGAGTAGATTGGGCTCCTCGCCCGGCTTCGTCCCAGGTCCCGACGGCGCCCCTCCGCGAACGCCGCCTCCTCCACCGCTGCTCCCGCCGGACGCCACAGATGATGGTCTGTCCATGCCACCACCACCGCCGCCGTCGCCGCCGCCGCCGCCGCCGCCGCCGCCGCCGCCGCTGATGCCGCTACTTGCAGCCCCGCCGCCGCCGCCCCCGCCCGCGCGCCCCTGCTGGCTTTGTTCTGCCTTGACGTCTTCTTCTGACATCAATACCAACCGTTCTACCAGCGACTCGTGCACCCGGGTCCGATTGGGTCTGTCCCCGGTTGTGAAGACGCCCGTCCAACGTGGAGGGAATCGAGGGTTGGTTGTGGAGACACAGCGAAGGGTATCGCGCGTTTGCGTTGTGCCTGCCATCCACGCGCACTAACTTATGAATCCACCCGTGGGTGCCCCCCCCCCACGGAGCTGCTCGCGAAATAGGGACACGCGTGGATGCAACCATCTCAGAGCGAAGCCAAACCACGGTCTCGATCTGTTTGATATATTCTTGCTTGCGAGAACAACGACCCTCTCTCCCCCCAATACACGTCGACGTGCACCCAATAGTACTGATACAGTTGTAAAGAAAGAGACGCCAGAACCAAAGATTTTCGGAGACAAGACACGCCGTGTTGCCGAAGCCAATCGTAGTGTGTGCATCCGGTGTCCGTTGAGAGTGAACTTCTCAAAGTGGTGCAGGGGCGGAGGAACCCCCTAAAACAATTGTTAGGGCTCTCACCCTAAGGTGTAGAGGTGCGGATGGGCTCTCAGGCATCCCTTGATGTGTTCGTCCTGGATGTGCAGCACGTGGTGCTTCAGCACCGCCGGGTCGTAGGCCTCCACCCTTATCTCGTAGTCCACATCATCCATCTTGACGCCCGTTTCGCGAGCATCGGCCCGTGCCTCCTCCTGTTTTCGCTCGGCTTCCGACATAACCTTAAAAATGGTGACACCAACAAGTGACGGCAGTAGCGTCGAGGGAATCTGGCGGGTTAAAGGCAGTGAGAGGTGAGCTGGTGCGGCGGGGGCGGATGCAATCATACATGACTGCACAGTAGTACCATGGATCCTAGCATCGCTACACACCGAAACGACAACGCTTTTCCTTCTCTACAGCGAGTTTAGTTTGAATGCTCTAGTCTCAAGAACGCTTGGGATTGTCTTCTATCCTCGCAAGCGAAGCTTGGCGTGCGGGGGATGCGTTTTCACTCCTTGATTGCCGGTACACAAGCTTCTGTGTACTGGAGGGTCACACGATACCGCACCGGAAACAAACGTGTGTTCATCAGCCATGACGTTCTTCCAGTATTTTTGACTCGTCTCTTTCACCAGGGGCTTTGTTACGCAATCAGGGAAATGAGCAGTAGTTGTGAGTGAAGTGCGAGGACAGGGCAGGAGCAGCTGGGCCCGACAAGCTCTACAAAATGGCGTCCCTTTGTGTTCGAAGCGGGTGCGTCCACGTAGTGAAACCCGCACTCGTCGGCGCTTCCTGCCACGAGTCTGCCTAGCCTCGAAAAAGGAGAAAAGAATACCATGCAGGTGATCAATATCACGCACACCTTGGAGCAGAAGACGTCTATCGATACCACTCTACCCTGGATGGTCTTCGAAAAGGTCGTCCGGACGGTGTTCTCGTCCAAGGGCTCGCTGCTGCTGACGCCACCAGATCCGTCCGCGGTGCTAGAAGGAGCAACCGGTTTCCCCGCCCCGACCGTCGCCGCCCCTGCCGAAGGCGCCGCCGGCGCTACACACTTCGAGCTGTCTCTTCTTTCGGCACCGCTCCCTCCGACACCGTCTCTCCCCGCCGGCCCCTGCTGCGAGGCGGAGGCGTCCACGTCGTTGCCTGTTCGACCCCCCCTGTCCGGCGCTGTCCTTCTTGGCCTGGGAGGGGCTGCCGCTGCTGCCGTTGGGGCGGCAACGGCGTGGTTGATGTCGTCGTTGGTGGCGTTGTTGGCCCCGTCCGCATGCTGTTGGCCTGCGGTCGGCAGGTGGGTCGCACGCCTGCCGCCTCTTGCTCCCCCCGCGTCGCCGCCGCCGCCTCCGCCGCCGCCGCCATCGGCGTGAGAAAGGGAGGAGAGAAAAGATGCGTTGCTCGAGTAGCCGGACCCGATGTCGGCGAGGTTGAGACCGCCGCCGTTGCTTCCTCGGTGACCCTCGCCGCGCCTCCGCCCCCCACCAGAACCGCCCCCTGCGAGAACAGCATGCCCGCGATTCAAGCCGCCGCCCCCGACGTGCGAGGTGATGGTAGCGGCCGCGAGCCGAGTGAGAGACAGCGACTGCTCGTCCATCTTTCCGAGCTGGACCTCCAAGACGCCGGCGTCGGTGTTGGCGCTGCCTCTCTCCACCACGAGGTGCATGACCTCGGCCAGGAGATGGGTTTCCGTAGTTTCGGCAGGCAACCCAAGGACCCAAGCTAGCTGCCCCTTGATGAGGAAGGCTGCCTCATCGCCGTTGCTGATTTCTCCTCCGCCCTCTGTGCCGTCGCCGCAGCCACCGCCGCTGCCGCTGCCGGGCTTCTCCCAAGAGCGATCCCCGCGTCTCTGCGGGGCAAACGGCGATGAACGGGGTCGACATCGACCCTCAGGGCGAGAGGTGGCACCGCTCTCCTGGGTCCAGTCCCACCCCGTCGTTTCTGAAAACGAAACCCCTGCACCTTCTGCCGTCTGCGCCACCACCGTCGCTTCTGATCCCGCCCGTGTGCCAGTGCTCTCGCCACCGCCGCGACCCACCTCTGCCGCCGACAACATCGGCAGAGACACGGAATTCTGCCCGTTTCCCCCGTGGCCACGGCTGCTCTGGCCGCTTCGTGCATCGGTCCTGCTTGTTGCCGCTGCCTCCCGGCCACTTTCATCGCCGCCGTCTAGGCGACGGCTTCCGTCTCGGCCCGATCCTGATGTAGTCACGTTCGACCTCGAGGTTTCGCTGTAGTGCCGCCGGCAGGGATCGTCGCCGGCCGTTGAGCTGACCACGCCTTCGCCACCGCTCCAGGACTGCCACGGCCGAGGAAACCCGCCGTGAAGGCTTTGCAGCCGTCGGTTCTCTTGCTCGATCTCTCGCGCCCCGGCCTCCGTAGCTTCCAGGAGAACCTCGAGCTCGCGCACCCTGCGCCCAAGCTCGAGCTTGTCTAGAGCTTCCCTGCTCTTCTCGAAGGTGGCTGCTGTAATCGGTGCACCCTCGGGATTTGTCGCCGGTTCGTGTCGGCCGTCTGTTGAGCGGTGGACGTCGTTGCCGCCGCCGCCGCCCTCTTCCGACGCGAGAGTAGCCGAGGCCTCGATCTGCCTCGGCTGCTGGCCCGTCGCGGCCGAAATGTCTTCTACGGTGCCCGCGTAGCTTCCGCCCTCGCCGTCGATCTGAAGGTACTGCTGCTGCTGCTGCTGCTTGAACCGGCGCTGTTCGTAGCGGTGCTGCTCCTCCATGCTGGACACGTTTCCCCACGCCAGCTTGAGGGCCAGCTCCTCCTGGCTGAAGACCAGGCGTTCCATCCTTTGCTCCGCCAGGACCACGAGAGACGCGAGGGAGTCCCGCTCGCTCTCGGTTGCCGACAGCAAGAACGACAGTTCGGCGACGAGCCCCCTCGTGTACCTCAGCTCTCCCCGCACGCTCGCGGTGGCCGCCCTCTGTGCGCTCTTCCCGCCCCGGCCCCAGTTGCTACCGCTCCAGCTACCAAGTTCACTGTCGTTATCGCCACGGCCGCCACCACTAGAAAAGTCGGAGTGCTTTTCGCGCGCCGCCCCTGCCTGGCCCTTCATGCGCCGGATGGCCATCTCCGCCTGCGAAACGGCAGCAACTGCAGTAGGCTGCGCGGGCGGGTCTCTAGCTGCAGCGGCCTGCCCTTCTGGTGTTCCTACCCCTGTTCCTCCACATCCTCGCGCTTGCGGGCCGCCGTAGGCGCGACCCCTCCCAGCGCCGCCGGCTCCGGCGCCGCCCCCCTGCCCCTGCACGCCCCCGTTAGCCATTCCCATCGCCCACGTGGCCTTGCGGGCGTTAGACATGAGGGTCTCGGGGCCGCGCAGGGGGGCGGGAGCTGCAGCCAGCGCTTTCACCAGCTTCCCCTCCGTCTGCCTCAGGGTCTCGCGCAGGTCCGACGCGGACTCCTCGGCCTTCGCCTTTGATGCCCGCAAGAACTCGTTCTCGACAACGTAACGCTGGAGGAAAGCTGCCAATCGATACCTGTTCGGTGATCACGAGACGGTGGAGACTGAGAGGGGCACAGACTGTCGGTGACGAAGGGAAATCGACTCGGCGGGTTACCTTGGGGAGGCGACGAGTCCGCTGCTGGTCGGTGTTTCTTTGGAGCAATAGTTCAGACTGTGCCTGGACACAGAAAGACTGGACTACTGAAGGCGAGACAAGACATTTTGGGTGAGCGAGGGCCGTACAAGCCATGAGCTGTTGGTCTGCTGCTGGAAGTCCCGGGACAAGCACCTTTCACGGGCCGCGGCCCGCTCCGTCTCCCGCGTAATCGTTCTCCAGGTGGAGAGCTTCTGATTTCTGCAATCGCGCTCGCTCGCCTCAGCTCTGCGTTCCAGGGCGACTAGGCGGGCGCGTAGGGAGGTCTCTCGATCCTCGGCATCGTAGCGCTTCTGCTTGGTTTCGGCGGTGAGCTGCCGTAACACCTGTGGAATGCACGGCACGGTGTACACGATTCGCAGCATTTCGGGTTCCTTGAGACCTTCTTAAGTATTCCAGCAGGAACGGACCCTAGGATTTGACAAGGAAAGCATGGATTGATCCACGTCGAACGGCGTCAAGGGTTGCTTGACCACTCTGAACAGGGAAAACGTGAGCCACTTGCGGGCTGTTGGAGGGCATCTCGTTCAATCTGGAATCTCTACGGTGCAGGGGGCCAGCAATTCGAAAGGAAACGAGCAGAGAAAGCAAACACAGCCATGGATAGAGAGAGAGAGAGAGAGAGAGAGAGAGAGGCGAGGGACGTACGAATGTTCGCTTCGATTCTATTCCTCTCACTTCTAGTGTTCGTAGTTTCACTGGGTCGGTGTAGAAAGGACGCCATGTCCCGTTTGAACCGAGCACGACCAAGGTTTGGTTGTCTTTCAACTTTCTGCGCTGATATAAGACAGGGCAACTTCAATAGCTAGACACAGCATATCTGCGAGCGGTAAGGAATACCACAAGGCCAACAAAAATGCCGAAGAATGCGAACCTTCGTGTCCAGCGAAAATCGTTAACGATGACCCGCTGCATGCGAGACACCGCGCACTTGCTACTCCTGTGTGCACTGCACCTCATCAGCCGCACGAAGAGCCACTTCTAACTCTTTGGCGCGTTTCTCGGCTTGTGCCATCTCGCTGTCGTGCTTCTCGCGGTCCGTTTCCACGTCGCATAAAGTATCCGCGAGCTCAACTCTGCTTCTGTACATGTCCGCCTCTAGCCGCTTGTATTTCTGGCGTTCCACCCCAAGCGCGATATCCTTCCGCGCTGTCTATTTTTGTTTGCCGCGCGGTCGGGTGAGCGGAAGACGAGAGGGAGACGCCAATGAGGAGGAAAGCATATGCACAAGAGTACGCGGTTGCTGTGTCTAAAGAAGGGTCGACCATCGAGCTTAGAAAACTTCGTGAGCTCCACTCCAAAACCGTGCCGTTGAAGCGCCCACACATTGCGCTCGATAGTTGGATGTCAGCCAGAGTCAGTCCAGATTCTATACGAATACAGCTAACAGCATACCGAAGTAGCATTTTTCGAGTTTTCAATCACCTCAAGATTTGCATAGCACACTTGTGTATTGGCCTGCTGCACAGCGCGCATAGCTTTCATCGCAAGCCTCGATCCTCCAGCTAGCGCCACCTCCATCTCTCCATCCACAAGAGCCTTTGGCGCGTTGGTGGTGATGTTCGCCCTCGATCTGCTCCTGCTCCTCCTCCTTCTCCTCAAGTGTCGGTCGCAAGAACTCGGCGACCAACCGTACGGGCCGCCAATGCTTCCACTCTCCAGCCCGCCTCGCTGGCTTATAGAGCCGGGGTCTCCTCCGACGCAGTGCTCTGATGACTTGGGCCTCTTGCTCCCGGTGGCCGTTTGTCTTTTGCCGTGGGCGTCCTCACGTGGAGTGATAGTGGCGGCGATGGCAGGAACATCCTCGAACTCTGCAAGGGACTGCTCGGTTGCTGAGCAGGTCTGTTGCCCACCCTCAGCAGCAAGGGACACTTGTAGTCTTCCTTGCAGATCATTCTGCTTCGATATGGATGTCATGTGTAGACTTGTCCGGTGGAAGCCGCTTCCCCTCTCCGGAAAGGCGGTGCATCACACTACGGAGATTGAGCGAGGGCACTACATATAGCTTTGCTGCATGAGATACTGCCCGGTCGAGAACAGCAACCACGGACGAAACACTAATGTGGCAAGGCAGTTGCGGACTACACCAGCTTCGGGGCTGTGATGTTTGCTCGCGTAGCCCCCACACGGGGCGATGTGTGTTTGCAAGTTCGTATACACGTGTAGGATTGACAGTTTCGAAATTCGAAATTGCGGCACAACCACGCTTCGACGTGAGAATGCAACTCTCCCAAGGCGACGCCCGAAGGGGTTCGTTTGAAATCTTCACAGATAGGGTGCTGGGAGAAGTCAAGCACGTGTTCCGGTCGAACGATTTTCACAACTCTACGCACAAACACAACACCTTCGCACAAACACAACACACAACGTCGTTCATGGTGCGGCGTAATTTTATTATTGCGGCGTAACCCGTTGAGAGCGGCGTAATTCCCAGCGGCAGCAGCGCAGCAGTAGGGGACCTAACAGTCAAGCACTTTGCGCCCAAGAACGTGGGCGTCGTGGATCCAACATGTCTGTCTTAGGCGGTGGGTCGTCCCTCGACACTGAGGCTTTGCTTTTGAACGACCTCGGAGCGTCCTCCCTCGCATCAACGTCATCTTGTCGCCCATTCCTGAAGACCAAGTTCCAGGTATAGTATTAGGTTCAAACACAGAAAGACTACAACTACTGTACCCATTCGAGATAAGACCACAGTCGAAGGTGCGGTGCATATATTTACGATTCACGAGACTGGCATCAACGTGTCGGCCCAGGTGACCCCTTTTACCCTCAAAGTGGGACCCACGCCCGATATCGCCAAGAACCCCTTATGCGTACGTGACGAAGCTGCTGGGTCTAGCGCACAGCGTACCTTGTGCACGTTAAGCAGGTGCCACTGTTCGAATTGCGGACGGAAATGTTCTTACCACTTGTAACCTTGCTATGGACGGCCGTTGATGAACCCACCCGGCACCTGTACCCTTCGAGTGCACAGATTGGAAGTGTGAAGGGACCCAAGAACTTCTCCAGCGATCAGACTGTATTTCACAGAGACGATGTACCCGCCACCAAACGAGAACGCAAGAAAGAAGTCAAGGAGGTGAGTCCTTCGACTTTGTACGGCGCGTTGTTTAGGTTTTATTGTACTGCAGATGGACTGTTGCAGTCAACGGCAACAGGGTTAGACTATGCTTCACAACGTCGTGGTTGACTTTGTACACGAGTGAATCTCCACCACGATATTTCGAGTTAGTTATCATGCAAGAATGTGCATCGGCAAACTGTAGCTCAGCTACACAAGCGATTTGGTCGTGATACGTGTGAATCGTCAAAGACCTATTATATGACATCGAAACATTCAACTCAATTAATCGATTTTGGTGGGACATCAAAAGTACCATCCCAAAGAAAACGTGTGTCACTTGCTTCACACGGATCGATCCCTTGTCCCACCCACTTAATGCATTATTCACAAAAACCAAAAGCGAGCGACATGAACTCAAGACAACAACCTGGCGCCCTCAACACTCCACCCATCCACCCTTCACTGTGTAGAAGAAATACTCGCTCAACAACAACATTATTACGAACAACAAGCATGCCATCGACAAAACGAACAGTGGAAGGAGAGAAGGATTCTCCGAATGGGGAGGCCGCCCGGCTGGTCCTCGAGCGTGACCCTCGATCCCACCCGGATGAAGTTCGCCAGAACGAAGAGCAACTCCGAGCTCGACCCGGGCAAGCCCTATCAGTACAATTACCGCGCGGAGGTACTGCCGCCCAAGAGTCCCGACCCCGTGCCAAAGTCAAACATGGTGAGCGAGGTTTTTACATTTTTGTCACTGCCCCTGTCCGGGGTTCGGGGATGAAAAACTATAATACCCTCTTCTGTCCCACGTGAGAAGACCGAAGTATTGCACCGCTACACGAGTCAGCGTCCTGGGTTTCGGTTTCTTTCCTCTGTAAGGCGGCATTGTATAGGCAGCTGCGTCAATGTCCGGTTCTGTGGTGAACCCCTACGTACACGTGGAATGAGTTGCCTGAATGAGTGGGTGGCTACCAAAGCCGTGTTGCTTGAGAGGCGGTATACACGTGGAATGGATGGTTACGAAAGCCGTGCTGTTAAAGGCGGCACAGGAGTACTCGCTGCTGTCGTGTTTCGCCAATCTGTGCGACCGGGGGGATGATCCCGGTGTTCGATACTGTACCAAACATTGACGATCAGCTGAAAAATGAATTGCTTGGGGGCGAGGCTACCTGTATCCGAATACGCCAGACCGCGTACCCTTGCCTTTGGACCAATACACGAAGTGTCCATTCCGTAGCCCAACCCAATGCATCCTCCTCCCAGTGATTTGGTTCACCGAGAACCAACCGGGGTATGTTGTAGCTCCGCACACCCACAACGCAGTCGTTGTGGAATTTCTTGCAGCAAGTTGCTCAGAAATTGGGCGGACCAGCGGCTGTACAAACGGTCTGGAGTAGAATAGCGTCATTCGCCGCCCCTGTGGGTGCCCCAAGATTCCCACAAGCGAGACACGCCGGGGCGATTTTCGTTCAGTTCCAGGTGTCTGGAGTCACCAACGAGGAGGCGGCAAGGAGGCGGATCTTGAGGGCGAAATACCCAGACAACGCCCTGGAGCACCCGAAACGAATCGAGGAAATGCCTTCCAACAAGAGACTCGACGGCAAGATCCGCTGGAACCCGTCCACTCAGGTGTGTGCATGTGTATGACGCGTTGTGTGTGAATCTCTCGGAGATAGTTCCTGCGTTGGTTTCGAATGGCTGCCCTTGTCTGAAGCCTTTGTCGATCGGTGCTCAACATCGTGCGAGGCAAGGCCGGGGTGTGGGTATACACGATGGAGTGGAAGTCGTGTTACCGGATCGCTCTTGTACACACCTTCATACCACGAGAGAACACCGGCAAAAACACGTACTGGATCTCCTTCTTCCTGCGCATGCCACAATCTGAAACGAGGAGTTGTCATCTCCCCACAGCAATGGACCATCATAATATTTTCTTTTACATTCCGAGAGAAAGCAACCCTCTAGCACGTGGTGTCCGACAGACACACACCCCACGAAACCGTGCAGGATACATCGGGTGTGTCATGGCGAGAGTTGGGCCCCTTTCCACCCAAAAGGTCTTTCATTTCTGTTACTGGCTATATCTGTCCTCACCCGTGCTACCTTTCCTTTCTCAGTTGTCATGCCACGTTCGCCATATTCTTTATGTTGCCGATGCTATCGTGTTGTTGCTTTTCCCACACTAACGTTGACTCTCAAAGTGTAACGCTCGAGAGCGGCGGCGGGCGCGCGACGAGTACGAAGCAGCTTGCAAGCTCGCCACTGCCAGGAAAAACGGCACGTTAAGAAACTACACCGCTCCCGAGCAGGTGGGGTTTCGAAGGGAGAGTTGGCTCAATACCCTTGATCGGATGATGTGTTGTTTCTATCCTAACCTCTCGGGCGCTAATCTACATCCGTCTGAACGCGAGCATCTAACGTAGGGATCTTCGGTTTGCCCTGGCTGCCCCCATACCCTATGACATTACGTGGGTGAGAGGTGGTGATGGTTTGGCTGTTTTGAGATAAATCAGACAGAGAGCGCCACGCCATGTAAATGGGTCGGATAATAACCGTGTGGACAATGAGTGCCATTCAATGTATTCCCGTTTGGACGGTGGTGCATGCGCTGACCTCCACACACCTCCGGGGGTGGAGAGGGACAGGTCTGGCGACAACAGCACCCAAGCATGCTTTCCACCTAAATAGAAAAGTATTTTTCCACGAGCCACTTGGTTTTAGAGCGGTACTCTTCCCCCTTCTCCTCCAATAACATACACGTTGTGATTCAGGTTCCGAGTGGAGTAAAAGGGTTCCCTACTTCCTGCTCCTCGCATCCGGCTTTGCTGTGCTGGTTATTGTAAATGTCTTGGGTTTCTTGGTGCGACTTAGTCTCTTAGCATCTCCACGTCATTGTCCCTGATGTTGGATGCACTTTCTTGTGATCAGGCCTCTTTCGATAGGTGATACACGGCATCACACCCGGTTAAAATCCTAGCCTCTCAATCTTGAGCGAGTACGTCCGAGATCAGAGACAGGTGGAAACACTTTGCCACGCCTGCATATGACCCCTGCTTACTACCTCTACCGCCTGGTCGAGGTAGCTGTTTTTCTGTACGGAACCGGCGGGCCTTGTATTCAGCAAGAACAACAACAACAACAACAACAACAACAATTGCAGTGACCTCGAGTAACGACGACCGAATGACTCTTGCTTGGATGACCCAGAGGGAGAAAGAGCAACAGCAGTGGATCCGAAAGCTCAAGGTCGAGGGCCGGCTGTGGGCGCTGAAAGAGCGAGAGCCTAGCCCGCTCCTGCCAACCCACAACAGGCTGGCCAAAGACCCCATCCGCAGGTAACATCATGCGTCTGCTAGAAACAACCGCTGCATTCTAAATCGATTGTATCGTAGTCTGCAGAGGTGCAGAGCTATCTGTTGCGCACTAGAAGAACTAGCGCCAAAGAATGGAGTGTGTCTTTAGGTCTGATACAGGTTTCGCAACGGATCTACAGCATGCATCGATTCACCCCAGCTGCACCTTAGCTTGAGGCTTAGTGAAAAATTCATACGCTCATTTACCTCGGCACCGATCATGCCCGGAAACAATGAATCGTGGATTCCGTCACACAGAACCAGAACGCACTAAATAGGGTCCTTATCAAGTTAGCTTCGCGATCATCTTCTTTCGCCGATCATAGACTGCAAGATGTTCTTCTTCTTCACACCTGCTTTTAATGCATCCGTACCATCCGGTGTATCGCAGACAAACAATCGAAAAATACATACGATACGCGACTTATCCTCGTTCGCACGGTACGTACGGCACTTTCGTCTTCGCACGGTTTGTGCACTAATGTGTTACCCGTAATCAGGATTCGACAGTATCGGCACTCGGGAAACTTTGAGTTCCGCGAGGCCGAGGGCTGCAAGATGTGGTCCGACACGGCCTGCTTCGAGGAGTGCTCACCCGGCGATATCGTAAGGGTTCACAACCCCGCCGGCTTCAACTTCGCGGCGCCGTGCCTCACGAGATCGGTCGCGAGAGCGTGGGGATCCACATGATGAAGGAACAAGCGAAACGGCGTCCTTGTTTTCACTGCAGGGCGCGCCAAAACTTACTTACGTGTTGTTGTGGCTCCCAAACTTTCGCATTATCCATCCTGATTTTCATAGTTGGTGTGTGAATGGTGGGGAGATAGCTCCATGCACGGTATGCTGATAGTTTAGGGTCTTGTAACGTCATTTGTTCGACAAGCGCATCATTTAGCTGCGCTCTGCGACTCAATCTTGCAGACGACTAGGAAACGATAGCAGTAGTGGTAGTGAGGGTGTGGAGGGATTCATACATTTTCCGTCAAAGGAAACATACATTTTTGCAGCACACGAAGTGAGTTCTCAACGGCATCACATCGAGTGAATGAAACTGCTCTCGATAGAATGGCATGGCAGTGAAAGTTTTGCTCCCTCTCAGCCAGCCCGCCTGGTGGAGAGAGTACCTCACTTGGGCTGTGTTTCACACCGTAGGTCCACCCGGCCTGAACCCTCGGACCCAACGCTATCATCCATAAGCGTGACCCTTGGATGGGTGAAAGCCCAGCAGCCGCTGTTCGTCTCACAACAGACCAAATAGTAGTAGATTCGAGGTCACTGGGCCGCCGCGGGTAGCTTGCGGGGTACTACTGTACATATGGCTTCGGCCGCGTTGCGTGGGACATGGACTTTTTCCATGCACAAAGGTCCGTTTTGCCGTGGCCATGTCCTTTGTTTCTTCGCGAACGAGAGCACAACGAACGATTTTGCTCTGCTTCAAGAGGTACAGAACTTTCCGTTTTTCTTGCAGTGAATGTCGTCTGTGGCACACGCGTGTACTGTGCTCGGTGCGCGGATTTCTTGTCACAGTCTTGCAACCGACGAGCTCCGGGAAGAAAAACACCTCCAGCTCTCATACGCCATGCTGTGGCGCGGTCGCCATGCGTCTTCACCGAAGCCCAGCATTGAAGAATACTATGGTATTCATACGCAGTTATACAAAATGAAATAAACGCACACGGTCGTTCACGGTCCCCCATCAAGAAACGTCAATTTAATATTCCAACTCTGTTACCAGAGGTGCGTAAAGCGCCGAAAGAACATCAACCCCACCCGACACTACAACCTGCCGAGTGCTTGTTGACTCCCCTAAAGAGGGAACAATATTAGCAAGCCCTCTACCTCCGGCAAAAAACAAGGAGGCCCTTAACTGGCTGCACAAATCTGTGCGTCGTGTGCATAGGCGCCCTACCCACCGGCTGGGGCCTTGTTATCATCCATCCAAATCTTGTAACATACTGTACCTTCGAAGCAAAATTTACCCTGGGGACCTCAAGAGAGTTCCGCACGCTATGCACACACCAACGCAAAACAACCATTTACCAGCCCCACATACCCCTCTCCTCGACGTTCATGCCATCTCTCGGGCAAAAAAAACGCCGAACTCAAGGCTGTCGGGCCTGGCTTATGCTTCCGAGCGTTGCTGAAGGGAAAATACTACAGTCGTGTTTTCGGCGGCTCATTGTTCTCGCCGGCGGGCAGAAAGCCAACACAGAGAGCCGCCGGAATAACTCGCCGCCGACTCCATGCCAACACATTCTCGATGTTGGCTTTCTCCTTTCTCTCTCTCTCTTTGTCGCCACAAAAAGCACACCCAACGACAACATATTATTTGAGGATAAGCACGGTTGCCTGAGGCAAGCTGCGTTGTGAATTGGCATGCTCTTATTCTCTCTCTCTCTCTCTCTCTCTCTCTCTCTCTCTCTCTCTCTCTCTCTCTCTCTCTTCCCGTCGCTACTGGAAGTTGGGATCGCAAACATCCCAGAAGAACTCGCGGTAGCTCTCGTCGTCGGTGGGGGGAAGCTTGGCCCTCAGCTGCTCCACCTCCGCCTCGGGAACGCCGGCCAGGTTAGGGAAACCCCTGAGCTGCTCTTCCACGGGGTCCTTGTGGGAAGGGATTAGCCTCGACGTCAGGTAGCGCGACCAAGATGTTCCGTCCTGATGTATTTTTTTCGTTTGTTTTTTGCGCGGAAAACAGCAGTCGCGACGAACAAGGGCGGCGTGAACAAAAATAACGAAACGAAACGAAACGATCATAAGAGCGTGAACAAGAACGGAAAAAAGGAGAAAGCTAGAGAGCAAAGTTTCTACCAAGGTTACTCGCAGTCGGAACGAGCGCAAAACAACGTTCGAAAAACACAAACACGATTTACGAAAAAGAACGAAATCGGACCGAAAACCTCCCTGCCGTGTCCCCACACCGTAATTTTTCTCAAAATAAAACGCCGACAGTCACGCACCCACTCCGCCCACATAAGCAACACACCTTCAGGAAAACCACGGGCGCGTAGGGAAATCGTGAGCCCGCCTCTCCGGCAAAAACGCCCCTGCACGCCTCTCGCACGGCCTCGAACTCGGGCCCGCACACGGCGGACCCGCTCCACACGAACACTCGGTCGTGTGTGTCTAACACCTTTCATTTTTCATCGCACCGTACGTGTAGCGTCATGCAATGTTCACACATCAATCAAAATGCGTGTTGCCGGGCGTTCTTTTGAGGCAAAAATCGCTTGTTTGCATTTGTTGTCAAGAGTAGCAGCATCGACCGCGCTACAACCGGCTGACCAATGAAAAGTCGCCAGTCTTAGTGCGGTTGAGAACACAACATGCTTGTAAAGGCCATCATATACATGTGTGTGTGTGTGTGTGTGTGTGTGTGTGTTTTTTTACCACTAGCATCGACCGCGCTAATTGACTGACCAATGAGAGGACGTCAGTCTCAGTGCGGCAAAAAACCGAAAAAACAAAATTCTAAAGGCCGTGATCTCTCTCCCTCTCGCCGTGTGTACGTGATGAGGTCGGAGTAACTCGCAGAGCGATTGGAATAGAAATCGAGCACAGAAGGGGATGGAGCGGGGACACGCTTGTTGTTCGTCGACGCGCCGGGAATCCGACGGGCAAAAAAAAAGTCATCTGCGGACCCCGTATTGGGTGGGAGCCCTTGGACGTCTGACAGTATTTAGTTGGGGGGTACGTGAAAGGTAATGCGGGGAAAACCGGGGGTGGGGGTGAGGGGGGAAGGTTTGGAGCAGACAGGCGCCTCAACAGCGGCCGTTTTTCTGTGGTGCCCCGAGCTGCCACTGCTACGATACATGCCATGTTCTTCGGGAGTCTGTAAATCTTACCAGGACTCTGTCGGCGAGCATCGCCAGCGTCTCCACTGGGACACGCGAGAACGGGAACGGTGGCGCGGCCGCCGACGCCGACGCTGTCGGCACACCTTCCTTAGCCGTGTTGCCGCTGTCGCCACCGCTGCCGTTGCCAGCGGCCGTCAAGCACGCGAGTGCCTCTGTAGCCTGTGCGGGTCATGAACGAGGTCACGGTTTTCCGCGGGCGGGTCAATCAATCATACCAATTCCTTGCTTGATTGGATGGCTGGGCGAAAATCGCCCGCTCATCATCAAAAGGAAATACCGCGGGATTTTATTGCGCGAGGTGTGGAACATCTTTAACTTTGTCTCGCGCGGAATGTTGGGGGATGGTTACGGGGGGCAGGACTAGAGTGGACACTCAGCGGTCAAGACAACCCCGACAACAGCAAGAACAACAAAAAGTACAACTTCAGACACAACTCAACCCGTGCTACCGTAGGTTACCTCCACGGAGACGGACACGCCCATCGTCCATCACGCCGTCCGTTAAGAGAGGGTGCGTGCAAAGTAAAGCCACGCCTTCGCTCTTCACCGATATCCTTTGAGAGTTCTAAATAGATACCAACCTGAGCACCCCCCCCCCAGAAAAAAAACGTCCCCCACCGCAAAAAAAAAAAATCCTTGACCGAAACATACATACATGTATCTCCTCTAGAAAAACCCGCACACCACATTAATAAAACGTCCCTAGGCGCAGCAGCAGCAGCAGGAACGGCGGTGACGCACCTTGAAGGACACCAGCGATGGCTCCATCATCCTCAGGCACTCCTCCAGGGCGCCCCTGAGGAACAGGTGCCGCAGGCACAGCGGGTCGTCCGAGTTTTGCAGCAGGGGGCCCAGCAGCGGCCCCCTCCTCAGGTGAAACAGCTGCCGAGGCAGCCGCCCCAACTCCCGCGGGAAGACCGCATCTTCCGGTCTGCCGATCCCCCACCCGCCCCCCGCCCCCGCCGCCGCCCCGCCGCCGTTGCTACTGCTGGTGCCGCTGTCGTCTACCGCTGCTGCTGCTGCTGCTGCTGCTGCTGCTGCTGCTGCTGCCGCGCGCGCAGAATTTGGGTCGGTACATGACCCCGACAAGGGCGGGGACGCAATCGTCGAGAATCCCCCGGCCTCTCCCCCCTCTGCGTCGGCCAGCGACGGCGGACCCACGTCGCCGCCGCCGCCGCTGCTGCTGCCGCCACTGCTACCGTTGCCGCCGCCGCCGCCGGACCCCCTCCCTCTCAAGGCGGCGGGGAGCGGCGGCGATAGTTCCGGTCTCGTCGAGACCGGTGTTGTCGACGACGGCGAGCTGTTGTTGTTGTTGTGGGCGGCGGCGGCGGCGGCAGCGGCAGCGGCAGCGGCGGGCTGCCTCTTCCGGAAGTCCCGGAAGCGCGAGCTAATCTCCTGGACGACGGTGTCGACGGCCACGCGCGCCTCCTCCACCTCGTGCTGGTTCGTGCCGCTCTCTGTCGTGTGTTCATGTTCATGTCGAGGTTGGCACGTTGATGTTGACGTTGGTGGTCATCTGCATGCAAGCATCCAAAGCTATCCACAGTATCAGTACTTGGGTTGCCTGTGCAAAGGCGGTAAGAGGGGGTGAAACAACAGCAACGACACACCATACCAGTGTAGCAGTCGTACGCATGCGGAATCGCACCAAAAACAGCACAGCACCTGTCAGACAGAGGGGGGGGGGGGCGGTCAGCGTAATGTTCCGCTACGCACCTGTCCCGAACGTGGCTCGCAAAACCGCCTCCTTTCCGATGAGAACCGACAACGCCTCTGGGTCCACGGTCTGGTCCAGGAGGAGGAGGAGCAGGAGGAGAAGGCGATAAGAGGGGGGGGCGTGCACACGAGGGGGCTTATTCAAAGGCCGGCATCACAACAGCAGCAGCAGCAGCAGCAGCAGCAGCAGGAACAGCAACAGCAACAGCAACAGCAACAGCAACAGCAACAGCAACAGCAACAGCAACAGCAACGGCAACAGCAACAGCAACAACAGCAGCTCTGGCGACAACATACACCAAAACCGAGCAACAACAAACGGCAACAGCAGCAGGGCCAGTAGGAGCAGCAGAAGCAGCATTCCACGACTCCACTCCCGGAACCGACGGCAATAATGGTACCTCTATGTTGTTTTGTTTTTCTCTTACGGGTTACGGAAAACACCGGACCCCGCTACGCTGGGGAAAGTCAAAACCACCAACCCGCAGGGAGTCTTGGGCTAACTTTGCGGACCGCCTTGCCGAGGACACTAAGCGTTGTATACGTGAAATAGAGAGGTAACCCTTAACCCTCACCCTGACCCTACCCCCGAACCCAAAACCCGTAGGCCCTACTAAGCCCATCCCCTTCGACTGCGGTTACGTATTTGTCGGCCGACTCCACAGGCGACTTTTCTCCGTGTGCTCGCCGCGGAAAACAAGAAAGTTTGGGTGGGAAAGAGCAGCCACCTTCGCCTGTTGGCTAGCTCGCAGCCTACTTAGTGTTGCATGGTGAAACCATGCTGGTACATCCGCAGCGGCTATTACCTACACCACGAGACCGAATAGCTTCGGGGCAGGCTAGTGTGGTCAAAGTTATCAACGAAGTATGGTACATGAGACAACCAACAAGAAAGTATTGCGCGGAAACACTGGCCGGTGCGGGAGGCCTCACCCAACCAAACCCAATGCTTACAACATTGGATGATCTGGGTAGGGGAAAAAAACAACAACAGTATTTCTTTCAACGCATGTACATTTTCCAATACCAAGCTCAGTATCCTCGCCAAGGCTGCAAGTACTACTGCTGTATTTTACGGCTAGTTCGAAAAGCGTGCGCGCGTCGCACTCACTCACACCTGCAGGAACCCGTGCCCGTCGTCGGTGACCGGCAGGCGGTGGGTCACGACTCGAGTTATCCGTCCGTCGCCTGCCGGCGACGAACGTCGGATGACGAACTGGAACACAACGTGCTCATCCTGCCATAGGGGGGGGGGGGGGGGGTGAGGCGAACGAATCGCTTGATAGGTCATAAGAGAGGTGATAAAACCAATTTAGCAACAAAAAACAAACCATCTAATTCGCCCTTCTCTCTCACACTCTCTATCTCGCTCTCTCCCTTCGCTCTCCAAGTATTTTCCTGGACAAAAAAAACGTAACGACACCCCCAGGAAACCAACCAACTCCGTTTTCAGCATCATTGCCCCCTAGCCCGCTTGGAAACCTTTGTCGTCATTGCTCTTTTTGTGTACAACCACCACCACCACCACCTGCCACGGGTTTGGGCCAAACCTCTCGGACCTACGCCGACTTGGTACAGGGCATCTTACAGGGAATCTAACACTCACGCCAAGCACGTGCGGCCGTCCCCGCTCATACTCCCAAGGCAATCAATCACCGCCGACGCCGCCGCATTGTGGTCTGGTCTGGCTCTACCTATTTTCGGGCCGCTGCAATCAGCACCCGAGCGGCATCTCGCCGCCACTATACCATGAAAAAACAGACCCAATATGACTCAGGCGTCCAGGCCCAACGCGATTTTCCCGTCGAGGGTTGGTGGCCAGCCTCTGATTCATTCACCCTTGTCAAACACAAGAGCCTGGGCCGGCGAACATAATCGTTCCTCCGTCCCGGGCACTGTACGGATGCGAGGTCTATCGACTACAGCATGCGTCTACATGAGTACACCAACACCCCCACCACGACCACTATCATCATCATCACCAGCCCGTGCTTGCACTCATCATCCCCTCACCTCCTCGTTTCGCGAGACACTTCCCACCGCCGCCGCCGCCGCCGCCGCCGCCGCCGCTCGCTTCTTCGTCTTATTCTTTGGCTTCGGAGGGCCGCCGAAGTAGAGCGCCAGCGAAGTCCTAGGGTCCGCCCGGCCGGTGACGAGTCGGTGGTGGGTACGGCCGAGACCGTTGCCGCCGACCGAGTTCGTCGGGTTTCCCATGCTGTCGGCGTGCACAGCGATGAGGGGGGGGGGGGGGGGGTACTCTTGATGTTTTGCATGCCTTAGCGGTTAGACCATTGACCACGCGTCCTCGAGAGGGCAGAGCATTGTTCCCACAGGACCGATCACCGACGATGGTTAATCCTTCCTTCCTACTTTGTGCCAAAGGTAGCTCAAAAACCTTCCCCTTATCCTATCCATCGTATCGATACATAACTTCCCGCTTCGGGAGTCGGGGGACAATCAACGATCCGAACCAAGTTTAGACAAGACATATTTTGGTGCGCCGTTGTGAGTGTCTCTCTGTTTCATGCGCCAGCATTGCTTTGCAACGGATGAGGCACGACAAGAATCGGCGTGGGAACAGGCCAGGGGCCCCATGGCAAGGTTCTCTTGCCCTTGTCCTACACTGGCAGAGGTCAGAAGGTTCTATTGCGGAGGTAGACAAGCGTGGCACCTCACACGTCGTTGGCTCTCGCGGGGCGCGGGGAAACTGGAAATAGCTTACAGCTCTTGCTCCGAACCCAATCCATGCATCTATTTTGTTCCACCGCTGTCGTGTTCCACCACGTCAAGTCAAACACATGTGCCCCCCCCCCCCCCCCCCCCCTCTGGCTCAACCCGGGGAAATCCCCCCCCAAAAAGGAAAAAAACCCGGGACGGGCAACCCCCCCCGCCTCCCCCCCCCCGTGGAAGCCCCCCCCCCCCCCCTTGTCCCCCGGTCCCAATCC